TTCCTTCCTCCATTCATATCTATCATCTATCTATCTAGCTGTCTATCTTTCTTGGCAGTTAAACATTTTAAGGCTGGACCTGATAATGGAGATCAAGGAAGGAGTTTTCTTTCTCATCCTGTTCTCTTTCTTCAAACAAACACTACCTAAACACTTGCTACAATAAGACAGATTGCCTTTATAAGTTGTTAAACTTGACCCCATTTTATATCTTCATATATAATATAACTTGCAATTATTACATGGTAGAAGAAATTTCTTGCCAAAGGAAGGAACCTTTGGCAGTCTGGCAGAGAATCTAACAGAACTGGATCTGACACCTTGAATGTGCCCACTCTTCAGACCCTTTCTAGATCTTTGTTCGAAATGAGAGTGCAGATAAGTGTTAAAAAGTAACCTGAGGTGGTTGTTTCAGACCTCTGACTGGGAAGAAAGGTGATTGTGGAAAGTGAATTTATTTATTTTTTTTTTAAAGGAGAGGTGATTTAACACCAACCTACCTTTGAAGGATTTCATCGCTTCCATGGTTCTGCTTACACAATATGATCAAATATTCAAATATCACATAATGTATTTTTACTAGAATAATTATAGAATTGCCTTCTATCGGATATATTTGGAAATGGAGATGATATTCAGAGAAGGAAGACATGTTTCTCTTCTTTATTGTTATTCTTCAAACTAACAACTCTTTGTTAAATATAAAAAAAATGAGTAAAAAAGAGTAAATAATATTTAAGCAAGATAGAATACACACTGTATTAAAAAGATAGAACATACTGTGACTTTGGGTTGTGTGTTTTTTAAGTGAAAATTTGTCTTTTTGCTTAATCCTGGGCCTGTAAACTTTTAAAGTGGGTTTTCAAAATGTCACTGTTTTCCCAAATAATAATAATGCATTGATTAACAACAGTTTAGACATATAGCTGAGTAACCCCTATTTAAGATGTCAAATTATTTTTCTTTCTATTAGTTTTAGATCTAGAACTCTAATTTCAAGCTTGAATTGGTAGATCAGTGGTCATTTGTACCAAGTACCGTATTCAAAGTCCATATTTTCCCTCAAACTAGGGCATTTTTATAACCTATGACCACTCCACAGACAGATTGCAGAATCAAATTCATTTAAATAGCCTTTCTCGACTTAGAAACACACTGTGCTAAGTTTATTAAAATTTGTGTTTGCATTAATGATAGAAAAACAGTTTCTCTACGTTTTGTTGCAGTAATCCATACTGTTTATGCCTTTCTTTTTTCTCCCCTCTAGATTCTGTATACTGGAATTGTTATTTATGCCCCAGCCCTGGCTTTGAATCAAGGTACACTGTCGAGTTACCAGCTAATATTTTTTCTTTTGCTTTCCAATACTTATTCTTTAAAGCAGACAAATGTTCAAACATAGATACAAAGTAGTAAATTTTGCATCATTTCTAATAGAGAAATCACCTCAAGGTCTTTTTAAATTATTTGTCAATACAGTTATGTAGCTAAACAATCAATGCCATTTATTAGAAATAGTAATCTATATATGTAGCCATGAGGTGTTAATCTCCTCCCATGTGATTAAGTGCCTCTGAAACCTTTCTGAGGGTCAGCTATGGATCAGTTCCAACTTGGTATTATACAGCAACAAGAAGAAATGGTTTGCATACAAAATTCATATACATTGTATTTCACACTTTTCTTCATTCACATTGAGTTTCATACAATCATTCCCATTCATTGTGAAATTAATCACCATTGAACTATATTCACCATTACCCCATTCTTCCAAATCCTGACCAGATCTTTCTCATTTCCTTTCCCCTGCCTTCACCCACCAAACTGTGTGACCTTGTAATTTCTCCCTGCCCATCCTCACCTCTCTGTTCACATCTCTTGCCCTCTTTTATCTCCATACACATTTTACTAGTTAGCCTTCTATTTTCGCAATAATGGTCTTATGCAGTATTTGCCCTTATGAAACTGAGTTAGTTCACTCAGCATAATGCTCGAGTTATGCAGCAGTTTGTGAAATCATTGTTCCTGAGTGCTGCATAGTATTCCATTGTGTCAATGCACCACAATTTCTCAATCTGTTCAATTGTGGTTGGACATTTGGGCTGTTTCCATGTTCTTGCAATGGTGACTAACACTGCTAAGAACGCTGGTGTGCAAATCTCCATTTGTGTCTCAGTTCTAATTTTTTTGGATCTATTCCTTGCAGCGATATCTTAGCGACCCTATCTCTATGATATACATAGTGTCTCTATGAGTCGCAGGTGACTCGACAGCACATAACAACATAACAACAACATTCCTTGCAGTGGAATGGCTGGGTCATACAGAATTTCTGTTTCTATACCTCATCTTTTGGAGTCAATGTTAATATGCCTTCCTTTTATTTTGGAGAAATGGAGGTGAAAGAATGTTTCCAGTCACTCACCTCAGCTTTATCAGGGCCTGGGAGGGGTTCAAGGTCTACTGAGTTTGTTTAGATTTCAGGATTGGTAGCAGATATACACAGATTAGTAGAAGGATGAGTTCACTGGGTGGTGATTTTCCAAGAGGGGGCAGCTAGTCATTCTCCATTCCTTCAGAGTGTGCGACCCCTGGAGTCTAAACCAAAAAATGACTGTGCGTTCTCTGTGACTATACCACTCCATTCATGTCACTGAGTTAGTTCAATCTCTGAGTGACCCTTCATTGGGTTTCTGAAGCTGCAGATGCAGAGGGAAGAGACTGTCCAGATTTCTTCCTTGGGGTCACTGGTGGTTTTGAACCACCTGTGCAGCCTTTTTTTGAGTAACCATCAGATCTCCCTTTGTGGGTATAAGCTACAGTCTGTCTCCAAGTATGGCTGATAGAGAAATGCCTCTTCTATCTCTAATATATAGGGAATGCTGGGGGAGTAGAGGTAAGAAGCTGTGCTGCGATCCTACCAGCAACTGTGCAGGGGAAGAAGGATGAGCAATCTCCTTGTGTGCAATTTACTACCTCTGAAAATCCGCTGAAGGTTTAGCAATGAGTCAGTTCCAGCACACAATAATACAACAAGAATCTCTAATATGAGAGAGGGAGAGATAGTCTCTAATATGAGAGAGGGAGAGAGGGAGAGGGAGAGGGAGAGAGAGAGAGAAATTTACAGTGGACCAGAGGAAAGTATTAAAACTAGGATAGTTAACTGTGCTCAAATGAAACTTGTCCACAGACCAAGAAGCAGTTGTCTCAACAGAATAAGAGGATATTCCTGATGGGATAAAATCAGGAAAGGCATGCAATAGAGTTGTATCCTTTCTCCATACCTCTTTAATCTGTATGCTGAGCAAATCATTCCAGAAATTGAACTACATGAAGAATGTGTTATCAAGATTGTAAGAAAACTCATCACTAACAGGCACTATGCAGATAACACAACCTTGCTTGCAGAAAGTGAAGGAGATTTGAAACTTTTATTGGAGAAGATCAAAGTCCACATCTTTCAGTAAAGATTAGACCGTAACATAAAAAAAAAAAAACCACACCATTGGACCAATAGTTCTTATTATGACAGATGGAGAACAGATAGAAGTTGTCAATGATTTAATGCCTTTAATAGCAACTGTCAAGAAATGAAAAGAAATGTTGCATCAGGGGTGGGGTGGGGGTGGGGAATCTGCTGTCGAGGACCTCTCCAATGTGCTAAAAAAGCAAGCATGTCATTGTAAAGACAAAGGTATGTCTCACCCAAGCCACAATATTTCCAGTTGCTTCCTATACATCTGAAGAAGGAAGAAGAATTGTTGGTATTGGAGAAGAGTATTGACTATCCCATGGACTGTTAAAAGAACAAACAAATCTGTCTTTAAGTAAAACCAGGGTGCTTTTCAGAGGCAAAGAATGGTGAAACTTTGTCTCACATTCTTGGACATGCGTTTGGAAAAAGACATCATGGAAAAGGGGGAGGGTTGGCAAAAGAGAGGAAGATCTTCAATGAGACAGATCAAAACAATGACTACTACAGTCAGCTTGAGTATCATGGAGATATTGACAATGGTAGGGCAAGACTCAGATCTGTTGTTCAGAGGCTCGCAATGAGTCCTAGCCAACAGCAGCTAACAACAACAAGTTGGCTATATGTCCTCAAAAGGTTCTAGGACAACTACATAGTCTTTGAATTCCCCTCAGGTGCAAGTTCTCTCTAAAACTTCCTTGTATAATGGACAAATGGACTCTGCGATGGGAAAGATGTGATGCAATTCCTGGCACTAATATAATACAGGGAAGAACTGCTAAGTTTATTTTGTAATAGAATTGTCACTTACGTGTAAAGTGCAACAGTATCACTGTAAACAGGTACTCTGCTTACACACGGGCCTCTTGAATTCTGAATCTCAGTCATATTCCCTGTCAGCATTACTGCCACCATAAATGGATCATTCTAGGCCAAGATCTGACTCATAAACTTCATAAGTTACCTATTGGCTTTTAAGATGCTGCCTTGTGATGTTAAAGTGCAGCTCTGGGAATGATCAGAGCACTGACTTCAATCTGAGAAGAAATCAAGGACTCTGTCCTTCCCGGTCTTGCATCATTAGATCCTTGGAGTAAATCAGAACCTGCAGGCCTCATGTGACTACTGAAAGATCAGTTGAACATTTTACTATGACAGAGGAAGTAGACATCAGCTTGGAATGAACATAGTCCAGGGCACGTGAGATATGCTCAATAGAAATGTGACTTAACAAATTCTAAATGTAGCCTTTTCATATTTTTATTATTAATAAAAAACTTGAAACACACATAAAAAATAGAACAGTGCGTTGGACCGTTTTGTATTTACCTACTTACATCACTGCTGGTGTGTGTCGTTGAGTCTGAACCGACATAGTTCACCCTCCAGCAGGTTTTCAGAGGCAATAAATCGCACGAAAGGAGATTGTCCATCTTTTCCCAGTGGAAGAGCTCGTGGATTTGAATAACATACCTTTGTGTTGGCAGTGAAATTCCTCACCACTATCAACTACAAAAAGGCGTTTGACTGTGTGGATTGCAACAAATTGTGGCTGACATTGAGCAGAACGGGAACCTCAGAGCACTTGATTGTGCTCATGTGAAACCTATGCCTACATGAAAAAGCTGTCCAAACAGAGAAAGGGAACACTGCATGATTCAAAACCAAGAAAGGAGCGAATCAAGGATGCATCCTGTCTCCATACCTTTTCAATCTAACCTGAATAGGTTATTTGGGAGGCTGGACTTTCTGAAGAATTTACCCTTCAATGTGAATTGCATCTCAACATCAAGAAAACTAAGGTCTTCACCAACAGGCCAATAAGCAGTACCATAATAGAAGGAGAAAAGATTGAGGTTGTTAACAATTTCATCTTGTTTGGACCCACAATCAACAACACCCTTGACACCAGAAGTCAGGGAATCAAAAGATGAATTGCATTTTGAAAATCTGTTGTCAGGGACTTCTGCAAAGTACTGAGGAACAATAATATCAGTCTAGAGACTAAGATGTGCCCAGTAGTAGTCATCTCAGTTGCTTACTGTGGATCTGTGAGCTGGACAGTGGATAAGGATGACAGAAGAATCATCAATATCTTTGAGTTGTGGTGTTGGAGAAGAGCATTGAACATACTATGGACTGCCAAGAGAACAAACACTTCTGTTCTGGAGAGAGTAAAAACCAGGTTGTTTTTGGAGGCAAGGATTTTGAACATCAGTCTGCCTCAAATATTTTGAGCATGTTACCGGGAGGAACTAGACCTTGGAGAAGTACATTATTCTTGTTAGGGTAGAGTGTCATTTCAGGAGAGGAAGACCCTGGGTAAGATGGACTGACATAGCGATTGTGGCAATGGGATTTGGTGTGTCAGAGATGCTGAGGTTGATTCAGGACAGAGCAAGGTTTAGAGCGATTGTTCATAGGGTCTCTATGAGTCGTAGTCAACTCAATGACACAAAACAACAGCACAACAAGCCACCAGAGCTCCCTACTTGTATTAACCATGATTAATATACTTGTATCACCAGTGATCAGTTCGTAGCTAAAATTACAATGAAAATTAATTTTAATGTGGCACCCTGCTAACAAAAAGGTCAGCTGTTCAAATCTACCAGATGCATTGTGGGAGGAAGATAGACCTCCTTTGGTAAAGACTTCCAGCCTCAGAAGCTGGAGACAGAGTTACAATGAGTCAAAAGGACTCAATGGCCGTGGAGTTGGTTTTTGACGGATTCCTTCCACTACATCAGTGTTATGAATCTGCAATATTATATCATTTCATCTCCATTACCACATGTCTCTAAAATATAAGGATTTATTTAAAAAGCCATTATAATGCTATTATCAATCCTAAACTATTATCAAACATTTCTTAATATTAGCTGTATCAAATTAGTGTTTAAATCTCCCTCATTTCTTTTTTTAAATAGTATTTATTCCAATTAGGGGACAAATAATTGTGCTTATTTGATATGTTTTTTAAAATCTCTTGTTGTCTTTATGTTGTTGCATGTTGTGTGCTGTCGAGTTGGAACCGATCCATGGCTGACCCTCCAGAAGGTTTTCAGAGGCAGTTAATGGCACGGGAGGAGATTGCCCATCCTTCTCCCGTGGTGACCTTGAACCGTGTGCCTTTGGGATTGCAGCACAGCTTTTTGCCACTAGGCCACCACCAGAGCTCCCAAGAAGATGCTTATTATTGAGATATTGTTCACAAGCTGTAAAATGCACAAAAGTGCACAGTCACATGGGTTTTGACAATTGTCTACTCTCGGGTAACCCTCTCCAAACTTGGGATATAGAATATTTCTATCATTCAATTCCAGGAGATTTTCTTGTGCCTCTTTGCAATAAATGCCATGACCACCCTAAAGCCACTTTCTGATATGTTATCATCGTTGATTATTTTCCCTATGCTTAGATTTTATATCAGACGAATCATATCTTCTTCTTGTTGTTGTTAAGTGCCGTCGAGTCGTAGATGACTCATAGCAACCTTATTAATGAAAGACCTGAGCACTCTTCATAGGGTTTCCAGAGGCAAGCCATTTCAGAAGTGGATGCCACTCCTGCTTCCAAGCTTGTTTTAATCAGGAAGCTCCACCAAACACTGTCCGCCGTGGGTAACCATTATCGCACTTAGCACATCAGTGGAATCATATCCTATATGCCTTTTTATATCTGGTGGGTTTTTTTTTTAACCCAGCAAACTGTTTTTAAGATTGAGCTATGTTCCTGCATGTATAAGTAGTTCTTTTATTATTTAAAAAAAATTCTAATAGCATTTCTTTGTATACATCTACTAAACCCTGTTTAGTCATTCTTGTGTTTGGACATCTGACTTATCCTCAGTTTTAAGCTTTATACGTGAAGACTGCTAAGAACATTCTTGAACAGGTTCTTGTTCTTTTGCTCTGCTTTTTTACATAGGTTTTTATTTATGTTGGTATATACCTAGAAATAGCATAAATGCACATCTATGCTATGAAGCCATTTAGGGAGGGTGTGTAGGGAAGAAACATGGAAGAAACTGCCAAATTGATTTTCTCCAAAATAGTTTTTCTCAGAAGGATACACAATTTTACCTGCCTATCTCACAATGTCCGAGAGTTCCAGTTATTCCATGTCATCAACAATTTTATTGACTACTAAGATTTTTAAAACCTTTTTTGGGGGGCAGGATTTTGTTTTTTTTTTTTTTTGTTTTGAGCTTCTCCTTGCATGCTAAGGCACAAACTTGGTGGAGAAGAAGTTGTTCTACCAACCCAAGGGCAGGGAATTTTAATCCATCAGCAAGATATTCAGCCTTCTACCCCACAATTTTTAGCCTCTGAAAACCTACTAGGGTGGTCAACTATGAGTTGGTTCTGACTCGAAGGCATATAACAACAATGGCATTTCATTTTGCTTTATAGGATTTTTTTTTAAAAACACCCTTTCATTATACTTATGTAAAACATTCACATAGTTCTACAGTGAAATCTACAAAATGAGGTATATTTACAGAGGTCTATTTTATATCACTATTCCCTCTACCAGAGTCCTTTATACCCGTCTAGGTAACTTTTCTTTTCATTTTTGGCTTATTCTTCCTTTTAAAAAAGTTTCATATCCCCTCCACTTCTTAGATAAGCAGTAACATTTATATAGATTTTTCTCCATCAAGATCCTGCCTTATAATATCCACAACCTTTCTTTGAAGGATTAGTAGAATATTATGTCCATTGGAACCAGATATAACTGGGCAAGGTGGTAAATGCCCTTCAATCTGTGTGGTCTGGTCAACTACCTCACAGCGGTGGGCTCTTTCTTAGCTTAGAATGTAAATGCCTTTTCAGGTATTAACTTTAGCCAATGTTGAATCTGGGGTTGGTCTCTGAAGCTAGAAGCTATGTCTATCTACCACTTCAAATTCAGTTTTAGACTTCTTTTGCTCTGTGTCCTTTTATGAGATTTAGACCTAGTTTCAAGCAAGTGGATATAGCTGTCAATAGTACAATAGTTTTGCACCCGCCACCCCGAGAACTTTTTTGCAATACTTTGATAACGTATGTTTCGCTGTTACATACATGTATTTTCTTTCTCTACAGTCACCGGGTTCCATCTTTGGGGTGCAGTGGTGGCAACAGGAGTGGTTTGCACATTCTACTGTACACTGGTAGGTCAAGCACATCATTTACTCTTTCATGCTGTTCACTTGCTTTGTTTCTTCTCGGTTCTTGGCTCCACAATCAACACTCTTGGTACCAGCAGCCAGGAAATCAAAAGAAAAATTGCATTGGGAAAGTTAGCTGTCAGGGACCTCTCCAGAGTACTGAGGAGCAATGATGTCAGTCTGGAGACTAATGTGTGCCTGATCCAGGCCATGATCTTTGCAATTACTTGCTATGTGTTGGAGAGCTGGACAATGATTAGGGATGATAGTAGAAGTGATGCCTTTAATAAATAAAAAAAAAGAAGTGATGCCTTTAAGTTTTAAAGATGGAGAAGAGTATTGAATATTGCATGGACTGCTAGGAGAACAAATAGGCTCATCCAAGATAGGGTGAGACATGGCTGCTCCTTGGAGGCAAGGATTCTGAAGCTTTGTTTAACATATTTTGGGCATGTTGCCAGGAGAGGGACATCATGATTGGGAAGGTGGAGGGACCACACAAGAGAGGAAGGCCCTCAAAGAAATGACTACCACCACAAATGACTTCCACCACCACAGCTCAAATCAACTCAGTGACTAGGGTAATGGGGGTAGGTGTGTCAGAGATGATAAGGTTGGCTCATGATAGAGTGGGGTTCAGAGCTGTTGTACATAGGATCTCTATGAGTTGCAAATGATACAACAGCACATAACAACAACAATAATATTTTTATTGGTTTATTTACAGCAATTAATATACGTTGTGTTTCATTCATGTACATTGTGTTTTATACAGTCTTTCATTTACATTGTGCCTCTTTTTATTTTTTCTTATTTTTTAATGCAACATATATATTTTTACAACATTTCTTCCCATTTATTTCCCCCCCTCATTCATTCATTGTACGTTGTACTTCTTATAATCATTTATATTGTTGTTGTTGTTGTTATGTGCCGTCGAGTCGCCTGCGACTCATAGCGACCCTATGTACAACAGCCCTAAACTCCGCTCTGTCCTGTGCCAATCCCACTGTCTCTGACACTCCCATCCCAATTATCCCAGTCACTGAATCAATCCACCTCATAGAGGGCCTTCCTCTCCTGCGCTGTCCCTCCACCCTCCCAAGCATGATGTCCCTCTCCAAGGACCAGTCTCTCCTCACAACATATCCAAAGTATGTTAGATGGAGCCTCAGAATCCTTGCCTCCAAGGAGCCACCGGGTTTAACCCTTTCCAGGACAAATCTGTTTGTTTTCCTAGCAGTCCATGGTATTCTCAATACTCGTCTCCAGCACCACAGCTCAAAGGCATCAATTCTTCTTCTATCCTCCTTGGTCATTGTCCAACTCTCTGATGCATAACAAGTGATTGATATACATTGTATTTATATTAGTAATTACTATTAATCCATGCCTATTATTGGAGCTCTGGTGGTCTAGTCGTAAGAAGCTGTGCTGCAATCCCAAAGGCCCACTGTTTGAGGCCACAAGCTTCTTCACGGGAGAAGGATGGGCAATCTCCTTCTCCCGTGCAATTAACTGCCTCTGAAAACCCACTGGGGGTTAGCTATGGGTTGGTTCCAACTCTATGGTACATAACAACAGCAATGCCTATTCTTACCCCATTTTTTCAAGTCTCATTGAATCTTTCCTATTCCTTCATCCTCTCATCTATGCACTAACGTCTCCTATCCTAGTGACTTCACCTCTTCTCCTTCTTCTCTCCCCCTTCTCCTTCCCTCTTGCCTTTTTGAACGTTTATACACATCTTGTTCAGTTATCCTTCTAGTTTCACGGTGAAGGTCTTATGCAGAATCTGTCCATATGAAACTAAATTATTTCACTCACCAAAATGCTATTTAAACTCCCTAATGTTTTATAATATCTTATGAAATTGTTGTTCCTTAGTGCTGCATAGTATCACAGTGTGTGAATGTACCCCAATTTCTCAATCTTTTCATTTTGTTGGTGGGCATTTGTGCCCTTTGCATTTTCTTGCTGTAGTGAACAACACTACTATGAACATAGGTGTACATATCTTTGTGTCTCAGTACTAATTTCTTTGGGGTATACTTCTAGCAGTGGAATAGCTGGATCATAGATTGTAGGAGATTTCTATGTTCAGCTTTTTGAGAAAATGCCCATCTGCCTCCCAGAGTGGTTGTACCATTTTACAATCCCACAAGCAGGGTATGAGAGTTCTGATTTCTCTGGATCTTGTCCAACAATTATTGTTTGCTGCGTTGTTAAACTTTGCTACTGCTAACGGGAGTGAGATAGCAATAACGGGAGTGAGATAGTATCTCATTGCTGTTTTGACTCGCATTTCTCTGATAGCCAATGATTTTGAACATTTCTTCATGTGTCTGCTGGCTATCTGAATGTCTTCCTTTGTGAAGAATCTTTTTATGTCTTGCTTATTTTGTTATTGGGTTATCAGTCTTTTTCTTGCAGAAACTCTGTGTTGTTGTTGTTGTTAAGTGCCATCGAGTTGCAGGAGACTCATAGTGACCCTATGAAGGAGAGGCCTCAACGCTTGGGTGTCTTTCATCCTGTCTCCAGGTTCATAGGGTTTCCGGAGGCAAGCTATTACGGAAGTGGATGCCACTCCTGCTTCCAAGCTTGTTTTAATTAGGGAGCTTCATCCCACTCTCTGTCTGCATTGGGTAACCAGCCATTAATGCATTTGCTCTATACTATTCTGTAAACTTTCATTATGGGACCCTTGTCTGAAGTGTCATTGCTAGATGCTTTTTTCCTGTCTGTAGGTCTTTTTTTTTCCTTTTTACCCAGCAAACTGTTTTTAAGATTGAGCTATGTTACTGCATGTATAAATAGTTCTTTTATTATTTTTTTAAAATTCTAATAGCATTTCTTTATATACATCTAGTCATTCTTGTGTTGGGACATTTGACTTATCCTCAGTTTTAAGCTGTTATAAGTAAAGACTGCTAAGAACATTCTTGAACAGGTTCTTGTTCTTTTGCTCTGCTTTTTTACATAGGTTTTTATTTACCCAGTTTAAGATAGGTTTGGAAGCAAGAGTGGCATCCACTTCCTAAACCACATGCCTCTGGAAACTCTATGAACCTGGAGAAATGACAATAGTTATAGAGAGGCTTCAGGCCTTTTGTTGAGAGGGTCGCTATGAGTTGTGCTTGAATCGATGGCAATCAACAAAAACAACAAGTTATGTCATAAGCTAGGGCTTCTAATTTAGTCCCACTTTATCTCTTATTATCCTTATGGTTTTGGGTTTTGCCCCGAACTCTCAGGTACCCACTTGCTTTGCACAGTTAAAAATTCCCGACTCTTGGTACTGCAGACTGGTTTGCTCATGCCCATTCTCCTAATCCTAACCTCCCCAGTGTCATTTTTTTAGTAAGAAGTATTCGGTCCCCTCTAAAAATGATCCTTAGGATGCTGATTACACCTGATTTTTAAAAAATCAGCCGAACCATTGCAATTACACACAATTGGGTCTCCTTCCAATTCACTCCAACACTCTTGCCAAGTTAGTGTAGCTGGATTCATCTTGTTCTTCATCTTAGAGATTTGTAATGACTTCCTGTGGCCTATAAACAGGAGTGGCTGTTAAGTGTATAATCTATACTACATGTCAGTTTAAAGACCAAGGTGTGACGGACACAAACCACAGTGTTTTCTATCGCTTTATATGCTTGTGAAAATTGAGCAGTGAATGAATAAAAAAGACTGAAGAATTGATGCATTTGAATAGTGATATTAGTGAAAAATATTGAATATGCTGCAGACTGCTCAAAGAACAAACAAATACATCTTGGGAGAAGTGCAACTAGGTGTTCCTTAAATGCAAAGACAGTGAAGCAACCCACACATTTTGGGCATGTTTTCAGGAGGCTCCACTCTTTGGAAAAAGACATCCAGTAGAACATTGATCAAAGAGAAGAAAGAAGCCTATTAATGAGACGTGTTAATATAGTGACTACGGCAGTGGGCTTGGCCCACTGGATCACCCCACAACACTCCACTCCACTCTGCATTACATATGTGTCCATGTGTATCAGTTCCACTACCAACCTAGATGCACATTGTTCGAATCCACCAGCTGCTCTGTAAGAGAAAGACGAACAATCAGTCTCCTTCTTTGTGATATGTTGTTGTTGTTGTTGTTGTTGTTAAGTGCTATCGAGTTGTAGGCGACTCATAGTGACCCTATGAACAAAAGACCTAAACACCTGTATAATTTTCATCCTTTCTCCAGGTTCATAGGTTTCCAGAGGCAAGCTATTACAGAAGTGGATGCCACTCCTGCTTCCAAGCTTGTTTTAATCAGGAGGCTCCACCAAACACCATCCACCATGGATAAACATTATCACATTTGACACATCAATGTCACAGTGTTTACCTTCACAGCACCCACAAGTTACCTCTGTAAAGCAAGTGGACAGATCAGGGCTATACGACTTAGAAGAATGTTTGACCAAAAAACAGTTAAAAGTAGGCCTGAGGGCCGCAGATTAAAGTCACTCACCTTTGGCTTGGTAGCATCACTTTCTGTCCACTAGGTCAACTGAGCTCTCAACTGATCTGTGTGATGATGCTGTTGTTAATTGCCGTCGAGCCATAGGCGACCCATAGTGACCCTATGAACGAAAGTCCCCAACCTTTGTGTGACTTTCATCCTTTCTCCAGGTTCATAGGGTTTCCAGAGGCAAGCTATTACAGAAGTGGATGCCACTCCTGCTTCCAAGCTTGTTTTAATCGGGAAACTCCACCAAACACTGTCCACCATGGGTAACCATTAACACATTTGACACATCAGTGTCACAGTGTTCAGCTTCACAGCAACTGTGTGACTTACTGCCTCTAAATACCCACTGGAGTGTCATCCACGAGCTCAGACTCAATGGTACGTGACAACACCACCACCACATGATGAGTATTGACTATATTGTGAACTTCCGAAGAAGAAACAAGTCTGTTTTAGAAAAAGTGCAGCTAGAGTGTTCATCAAAAGCAAAGATAGCAGGATTTCATCTTACATGCTTTTGACAGTTTATCAGGAAGGGACAGTCCCTGGAGAAAGATGCCATGCTACGAGAAGTAGAGCCTCAGCAAAAGAGAAGACCTTCAGTGAGACAGACTGATACGGTGACCCCTAGAGTAAGCCCGAGGGTCAGAAAGGATTCCTTTCTGTTGTACATAGGATTGCTTTGGGTCAGAGCCAACTAACAGCAATGCATTTGCCTGTATTGTGTCCTCTGCTGGGAGAACTTTCCTCTTTGCCTCTGCTTATGTTTGAAAGTTCTCTTGAACACCCCTGTGCACTCTCATGAAGAGCCAGGTTTTCCTTTTGCTTTTTGTCCAGTGTAGATACTTGTAGATACGCAATCATATTTGACAGAAGCCTTAATCCTGCTATGCTTTCTTCTCAAAGGGTGGCCTTAAAGCAGTCATTTGGACGGATGTGTTTCAAGTTGGGATCATGGTCGCTGGGTTTGCATCCGTGATTATACGGGCTTCAATTGTGCAAGGAGGAATGAATGCCATTCTAAAAGATTCCTATGATGGTGGAAGGCTAAATTTCTGGAAGTAAGTCGCTTACATTTTGATTCCTTAACTCACCTTGCTCTTCCAAAACAATCCCTTTATTGAAATACTAAGTTTGCATTAAACAAACATACCACTAAGGATATGGTACAGATCCTTAATTTGAAAATGAAAGACAACAACATTCGATTCTTGAAGGGATTAAAATGTTCCAGAGATGCAAAGTAATTAAGATATTGCTTCCTTTAGGGAAAGGGCTTGGATTAAAAGAATGCTTCTATTTTTCAGATATTAAAGTCTTGAATTTGGTGGCAGGGAGTCATGGGGATGTTATTCAAGAAACAAGAGAAGCACTGCTTCTATGGAGTATTTGCTAATCTGTAGTTATCAGTTTCATGTATTTTTCAAATGTGGTGAAAAACTCATGAAACTGTTCACTGTCAACATTAGGTGCCATCAAGTCGACTACAGCTCATAGTGACCTTATGAACTACAGATCTCAACCTTGTCCTAGTCTGTTCCATCCTCATGGCCTCTGTCATACTCATGCCCACTGTGGCAGTGACTATGTCAGTCCGTCTTATTGAGGGTCTTACTCTTTCCCCCTTTCTCAGCATGGTGTCTATCTCCATGTACAAGCCCCTGCTGAAAATCTGCCCAAAATATGTGAGACAAAGTTTCACCATTCTTACCTCTAAGGAGTACCCTGATTGTATTACCATCAAGATAGATTTGTTTGTTCTTTGGGTAGTCCATGGGACATCCATTCCTCTTCTCCAACACCACAGCTCAAAGGCATTGATTCTTTTTCTCTCCTCTTTATTCATTGTCCAACGATCAGATGCATAGAAAGCAATTGAAAAATACCATGGTTTGGATCAGGCTCACCTTAGTCTTTGAGCTGACATCCTTGCTCTTCAGTATTTTGGAGAGATACCTGGCAGCACATTTCCCCAATGCAGCACATTTTTTTAATTTCTTGATTGCTGCTACCATGGGTGTTGGCTGTGGATCTAAGTAAAATGAAATCACCGACCATTTCAGTCTTTATTCCATTTATCATGATGTTGCCTATTGGTCCAAAGATGAGGAGTTTTGTTTTCTTCCCCTTCCCCCCATAAACAAAGGAGGCTCATAAAATTTTATTCTATTTCAAGAGTGCAGGCAAGCAGAAAGTTTCACAGTTAAACATAAATAGCACAACAGTTATACTTGGATGACCATACGTGAGGTTGTACAGTGTCAAAAGCTATCTGGATTGCTACCAGTTATCCAGTTTCTTCCCCATTCTTCCACTGTTGGCCATGCCAGGATCCATTACTCCTAACTCTAAATGGAGTTGTAAACCCTTCTGGATAATACTTGGCTTGCCTGGAAATTATTAACTGAATATAGAATTGGAAAAAAATTCACCCATCTTCTTCCCACATATATTTTCCCAAAGACCTCACTTTCAGGTTTGATTCCCATGACTTGACTTCAGCTTCAGAACAAAATTCCTCTTCAGCATTTTTGAGCCACTCTGCAAACTTTTTCAGTTGCTCAGGATGACACTTGTCCCCTTTGCAACATGTGCATCTTTATACCATTTCAGGATGGGCACTTAACTCAGGATTTCAACTTTGTGAAAAAAGGCCACTGTTTTCTGGAAGAGTTTTGTTTCCTTGATATTGAGTTGTAACCCATATCAAAGGCTGCAGTCTTTAATCTTCTGCAGCAAGTGCCGCAAATCCTCTTCACTTTTTGCAGCAAAGTTTGTGTCATGTGGCATAGATGAGTCTTCTTTCAATCTGGATGCCACACTCCTCTTCATGATAGTCGAGCTTCCTGGTTAATTTGTTCAGCATACAGATCGAACCATTCTAGAACTGTCAGGAGTGCAGTAGCCACAGCAGTGGGCTTCAGCACAGCAGAGCTCCTGAGGACGGCACAAGGCTGAGCAGGGCTCCCTTCTGTTGGATAGCATCACTGTGAGTTAGACCCCACTTGAAGACCCCTAACAACATCTAGTTTTCTATAATAGGCTTTTTTCCAAAATTGCATGGGGTCAATGTGTTCCTTTAAGTGGTGCTTGTCAGTGAATTAGCTTGAGCTGTTTTGAAGAAAGAACATTTTATTTTCTTTTACCTGAAGATGCCAATTACAAGGAAAAGAGCAAACCCAACTGACTAGCTTTCTCTCCACCCTTTGGCCAGGACAGAGCAGGTCATTTGATTGGCAGCCTTTTCGTACCATTTAATAGAGAAAAGGCAATCCAGGTCTCCTCTTAGGAGAAAAAGGAAAAATGAATGCTGGGGGCAGAAACAATGATGGTCACTCATAGGGAACCCTGATTCCTCTTGAATTTCCTGCCAGTGGGCGGGCTGTGAGGGAGTGTGGAGTCAATTACTTGTCGGCAACATGCATTTTCTGTAAGATGATGGTCATTTTGCACAAAGATAGTAGATGCTACTGCAATGAACTCGTAGTTTTATACGCCAACCAGATGCCCTAAAAAAGTAAAAGAGCGGACACTTTTAGGAATGTTACTTTGAAAGTTATAAACAAGTTAGTCATTATGAAAGGCCTTATTATATTTGATACTTTTCAAGAGTATGCCTTCTGCTTAAATCAGCTCTGGAGTGGATTTTTTTTTAGTTTTGTTTTTAAAGAAAATTTTCCTTTTTTTTTAAAGGTTTACTTGCAAATTTATATGCATTATTTTTCACACTGGATCTTTCCCACTTCCTTTACCCACACTTTCCTCCACCCGTTAAATTGTGTGACCCTGTGACTAACACACCCTGACCCCGCCCATCCTCACCCCTCTGCTCTCACCTTCTCCCCCACCCCCTTCGATCCTCATACACATTTTACTAGTTTAGTTATCTTTCTATTTCTACAATAATGGTCTTGTACAGTATTTGTCCTTATGGGACTGAGTTAGGAATTCTTCAGTTTTGTGTTCTCAATACCAGATTTCTTGTCACGTCCTTAGGAGCCTCGTTACTCCATGTCTATCTGCATCTCGTTTTCACCCAGCTTTATTCTCTTTGTATTATGACACAGTACACGTGTTTATATAATTTCTTAAGGTCCTGAGAAAAGAATTTATGCAAACATTTGCCCCCGAGTCACACTGGACTCACTGCCACTGAGTAAGTGCCATCTCAGCGTGAGCCTCTTGGATTTCCAAGGCTGTTAATCTTCATGGGAGGAGACTGACCGTCTTTCACCCTTAAGATGCCTGATGGATTTGAACTGTCACTCTGTCAGTTAGTAGCTCAATATATTCTGCATTACACCACCAGGGCTCCACCAATTACACATTGTTGTTGTTGTTATGTGCCGTCGAGTCGTTTGCAACTCATAGCGACCCTATGCACAACAGCCCTAAACCCTGCTCTATCCTGCGCCAACC